TGGCCGCGGTCGGCTGCCCCAACTACCAGTCAAATTCCCGCCATCGCCAGATTTTTCTTTGAGACTCTTGCCGCCACGGTCACGTGATATATCACGTGATTCTAATGGATATTTTTGGCAAGGCGCTTAACGAGGAATGCTATAAAACTCTCTCAAAGTCTATGAACTATCTGTCACGTCACGGTTTAACGTTCTTCTCGTGTTAATATTATAAAATATTGTATAAAAAATATAAAGTAGAATTTCACTTTTGAGAGTCCCTTTAGCATTTAACAATTTGCAACGCAAAATATCTTTGTCACATCTTTGAAAGGTTAAAAGTGTGGATGACATAAAAATGTGGGGTCTCACCTCAAAATTACGTAGAATTCAATTTTATCGATGTTTTGGTTCATAAGTTTGATTTAATTTTAATTTAGTCATTCGTTTTTCGTATCACTCAATGATGTGTTAATTGTAGAAAAATTGCAAAATATGAAAGTGGTCTTACTCCGGGAACTTATATGTTTGTACTGAGTTATAATGAAAACGATGCCATGTTCCTCTGTTATTAACCGGATAGGAGATTCGAATTTTAAACATCGTTTGAAAACGATACAAAAAAATATTAGTGAACTGATTATGAGTTGAATAAATTAAAAATAATTATAAAGTACTGAATTACAAGTGGGTAAATATACCTCAAAAATGTGCTATATCGTTGGAGATATTTCTTTTCTATTGGTCATAGGAGGAGACGAATATTGATGAAAGAAAAGGAGACGAGAAACTTTTATTTGGTTCCACACTGCCTATATATTAATTTTCGGAAAAGACTTGGTTGCTGAAGAATTCAACAGCAGGTCTATCCAAGTTTTGATTAAAAAAATCAAAACTTGAACACGTGTTCAACCGAAATTGAATGTAAACAAGATTTGCTGCTGAATTTTCATCAGCCAAGTTCAGTTCTTAATTTTCTTTCTTATTATTCCTTGGTCAATATTTTCTTCTTTTTGGTCGGTTCAAATCAATGAAGAGCTTTTTTGTTATTAAAAAAAAAAAAAAAAAAAAAAATCAAAGAAGAGCCTCAAAAACATTATAACACCCCAGCCCACGATCAAACTAGGCCGCAATCTCACATGATGATGGCTTTTAGCTAGCAATTAGCCCACAAATGGGAAGAGACTTCTTTTTGCTTTTTAAAACTGTAATGTTTCGGTCTAATGATACATTAAAAAATACAAGTTACTTAACACAATATCATTCCTGTTGCGTTTTAGTTTTCTACACTTTTTTGCATTATTTACACATTTCTATTCTATTTATTTTAAGCCGTCGTTTTTGTTATTTAACTTTTACTACTCCATTTCTTTAACTTAAATATTTTTTTTTTTGGTGATAATTTTTTCATAAATAATAGCGTTATTAGATTAAATTATTAGTTGTCAGAGAGAGAAGAGAGATTAGTAGGGATTAAGCCCGAATTAGAGTGTTTGTTAAAAAAAAAAAAAAAAGTGCATAAACAAATTTTTTTCTGCCATTATCGCAAAACGCAGTCTCAATTTTTTTTTTATGTCAAACAATAAATTTTGTTAGATTAGATATTACAATAACCACCGACAGAGTTTGAATCCCAGATTATCATGCAAAGACTCAACACCTTCCAACACTATTGTAGTAAAAACCACCTGCAATTTTATTTCTTTCTTGAGAAGAAAGAAAAGAGCATTTTTTTTTTTTTTTTTTGTGTGAGGAGCTGTTATTCCATACAGCTGTAGGCCACCAGATAAATTACACCTCCAACAGGAAGTAAACAGCACACCATTCGAAAAAAAAAACAGAAAAAAAAAAAAAGGAGAGAGAAAAGAGACTCCCACTGGCAAGGCCGAGCCCTTTACTGAAGAGTTGGGGGACTTTCACAAATCGCCCTTCTCCCTCTCTCTGCATCACCACAGATCCTCTGCGCATCGTCTTAACTGTTTCTTCAAGCTCTTTCAAATCCCTAGGTCGACCGGGTAATCTCTCCTTCCTGCGATCTCATTTACTTGAAAATTCTCTGAATTTAGGTTTAATTTTATGTGTTTTTCAAATTAGGGATACGTTCTACTCTTAGGGCTTTTCTCAATTTTTAATATTTGATGTTTGTATGCTGATTTCTGCTGGAAATTTAGGGTTTTTTTCGCCTCCGACTTGCGTTTGTATCTGTGGGTAGTATATGCTTACTCTATTTTCATCCGATTTCGCTCGAATGTTGATGTGTTGCTGGATATTTACTATATTAATCATCAATTAATCTCCCTGGCTTTGTTTCAATTTCCTGTTCAGTTTGTTCGTCGGTGTTCGAGTTCAATTTTGTGTTTTTCCAATCGAATTTTGGTCCCTTAGGTACTTAAACCATAGTTGGGCCTTAAATCTGCGGGATGCTATTTCTTGTTAGTTATGAAGTTATATTGTAGATTGCCAAATTTTTATTAAAACCCAGTTTGTGATGTTGGCAAAGCGATGTATGAAATATGCTTTCGTTGCGCTAGATTTTTATTAGCATTGGTGCGACATGGTGACAGATATAAATATGCAGATGAACAAGAAACTAATCGGTTATAGACTAGCCATGTAGATCTTACTTGACTGAAGATTTCATAGGTTCTCGGAAGTCCAATTGGGTCGGCTAGATAAATTTGTGGTGCATATATATATTTGGGGCTGAGGTGGATGGTTAAATGTTCTTGTAAAGTAAATTAGTTGCTTCTTTGAAGATGGCTAATAAATGTCGGTAAATACTTTGCGGAGAGATGATAATCATTTTCCGAAGTTAGTGCTCTGGAATTTGAGTTTAAGTAGCGTCGTTATTTGCGTGTTATATTATTAAAGAAAATTCACCCAGCACATTAGAGTTCTTAAGAGACTTGCAACCACTTGGGACCCTTACTGATCCCTCTTTTATTTGGATATTCATTGCCTGATGTAATTTGCTACAGGAATATAGTAATTTGGTCTGTTCTATTTCTGCAGGACTTGGATAGTTCAAAGCATTGACAATGTCTTCGTCATATCTCCCAGCAACTACTGATTCGATTGCTCAGGCTGCAGAGGCCAAAACTCCATCTGAATCCATCTCTATTCTTTATCGCATTCTTGAAAACCCATCAGCATCTTCTGAAGCTATACGGATAAAGGAGCAGGCTATCACAAATATTTCGGATCTTCTTAGACAAGAAAATAGGGCGGAGGATCTCCGTAACCTTCTCACCCAGTTGAGGCCTTTCTTTAACTTGATTCCCAAGGCGAAAACTGCAAAAATTGTCCGCATTATTATTGATGCAGTAGCTAAGATACCAAACACGTCTGAACTTCAGATTTCCCTTTGCAAAGAAATGGTGCAGTGGACCCGTGCTGAGAAGCGAACTTTCCTTCGACAGCGAGTGGAGGCCAGGCTTGCATCTCTTTTGATGGAAAGCAAGGAGTACTCGGAAGCACTAACTCTCCTATCAGACTTGATCAAGGAAGTGAGAAGGCTAGATGACAAGCTTCTCCTTGTGGACATAGATTTGTTGGAGAGTAAACTTCACTTTTCTTTGAGAAATCTCCCTAAAGCCAAGGCTTCGCTCACAGCGGCAAGAACAGCAGCCAATTCCATATATGTGCCTCCAGCTCAGCAGGGAACTATCGATTTGCAGAGTGGGATCCTTCACGCAGAAGAGAAGGACTACAAGACTGCTTACAGTTATTTCTTTGAAGCATTTGAAGCCTTCAATGCTCTTGAAGATCCTCGTGCTGTATTCAGCCTCAAGTACATGTTGCTGTGCAAAATCATGGTGAGCCAGGCTGATGATGTGGCAGGTATAATTTCATCAAAAGCAGGCCTGCAGTACGTGGGACCTGAGCTGGATGCTATGAAAGCGGTGGCTGATGCTCACTCGAAGCGTTCTTTGAAGCTTTTTGAGACTGCTCTTCGTGATTTCAAGGCCCAATTAGAGGAAGACCCTATTGTCCACAGGCACCTCTCCTCCCTGTATGACACACTGTTGGAACAGAATCTCTGCAGGTTGATCGAGCCTTTCTCAAGGGTGGAGATTGCTCACATTGCAGAACTGATTGAACTGCCAATCGATCATGTGGAAAAGAAACTGTCTCAAATGATCCTGGACAAGAAGTTTGCAGGGACTTTAGATCAAGGTGCTGGAAGCCTCGTCATTTTCGACGATCCCAAAACAGATGCAATCTACCCAGCAACGTTGGAGACCATATCTAATATCGGCAAGGTCGTGGACAGCCTCTACGTGAGGTCTGCGAAGATAATGGCATGAGGTTTTACGGTCAAGGAGGCTGTTTCCTGCCCATCGCTTTATTTCTTTTCGTTGCATTCGGAGTCGGTAATCCTTTATTTTCATGGTTTTAGACTAAATTGTACTTGTGAGTTGGGTAGGTTCTACCATTCGGAGAATTTTCATTTTACACAAAAGGAGCTTGTATTGAGCCTTATCAGGTTGTTTGGCATTTACTTTTAGAGGTTAATTTTGTTGAGGAAATTTGCCATTTTACTGTGGTTTGTGTTGATTAATCCCCTTAAGCCCTAACCCCTTCCGGCTATATTTTTCCAGAGCTCTAATTCTTCATCTGAGCTCCTTTTCACAACAGCAATAGCTGATTCTTGCCTTTTTCAGGTATTGGATTACGTATTTTTGTGTTTGGGTCGCGTAATGTTTAGTACTGTTGTATGTGTTAATAAACGCAGAGGAAGTTTGGAATTGGAATAATTATTACTTCTCTGATTCTTCACCATTTCATTCGGAACCTCCATATTCCTTAAATGCCGAAAGTGTTTACCGCAATGACGAAATGCAATCATGCCTATACATCTGTATTGGATTTGATTTCCACCGATCCTCCTCCCCTCTAAATGGTTGATCATATCTACTAACAAGAAAATTAGCAGGGAAAAAAGAAACAAAATGATCGAAACGCAGCGTCGCAAAGGGCAAAAAATCGTATAACGGCAGGGTGACTTAAAATCTACGGGGACGTCTTAACTGTCAACGAATAGAGAGAGAGGTGGACGCCTGTTCATTTTTCACGGAACCTGTCCAAGTCGAGTCTGGATTTCCGTAGAGACCAAAATCTGAAAATCGACGTTGAAGCCCCGATCCTCCTTCTCAGAACCCTCAGATCGTTGCCTTTCCGATTCCCAAATTCCCAATTGAATTACTAGATTTCTGCGCCGTGCAGTAAAACTAGTAATCAAGATGAGTGAGGTGTTCGAAGGCTACGAGCGTCAGTACTGCGAGCTCTCCGCAAACCTCTCGCGAAAATCGAACTCCGCCGCTCTTCTTTCCGACTATGGTACGATTCTATTACCCTGCCGATTTAATGACATGGGTTTGCGAGATTAGCTCCTAATCTTCTTAATTATGTGTTTTTTTTTTTAATCAATTAGTAATTCAGGAACATTAATTCAGGGATTTCTTTTGGGGCTTTTATTGGGTTTTTTTTAGTTCAAGCGTTTGTTGGATTTCTTTGTGCAATTCAGGTCCCTTAATGCGTATTTGTACGATTTGGGTTCGTTCTGTTCGTTTTATGAAATGGGTTGTTTTGGATCAATGTGAATTGCAGAGCAGAAGAAGCAGAAGTTTTCCGAGATTAAAGTTGGATTGGATGATGCCGAAGCTTTGGTAATATGCTGCACAATAAACGCATATTTTCGCTTGTTTTTGCTTTTGCTGGAAAGCTTCTGGTTTTGTATACTTGTTTGTTTATGTGAACGAGTGATGTGATTTGTTTCCTCAGATTCGGAAAATGGACCTCGAAGCCAGAAGCTTGCAGCCAAGCGTGAAGGCGGTGCTTCTTGCCAAGCTAAGGGAATATAAATCTGATCTCAATAAGTTGAAAAGGGAAATCAAGAGAGTTGCATCGCCTGATGCCACTCAGGCTGCTCGCGATGAACTGCTGGAGGCAGGAATGGCTGGTACGCATGCGGTAAGTGTGGACTCTCTATGGATCATTCCACTTTCATTGTACCCTTCATTGATTGAGAAGTTTTTACCAAAGCATAGAATTTGGCTCGAAGATTTTTATGAGTTTATGCTTGGCAATCTGTAAGCAAAATCCGAATTCCCAACTATCTAGGGTGCCCTTCTTGCATACTTTTCTCTTGATTTATGACAATGGTAACACCTAGGCCGTTTTCTTTTATTCTCAATGTACTATTTACAGGATACATATATTATATTTATCGTTTGTTGCTTTATCTTCGGTACAATACAATAAATATTCTTGGTGGTTTATGGACAATGAAACAGGTTTCTTCTGATCAAAGAGAGAGAATGGCAATGTCTGTTGAGAGATTAAATGAATCAAGTGATAGAATCACACAGAGTAGAAGAACAATATTGGAAACTGAAGAGCTTGGTGTCTCCATTCTCCAAGATTTGCACCAACAGCGGGAAACTCTCCTGCATTCCCATCAAAAAGTATGTCAACTTTTTAATCATGTTTCTGCTTAACTTAAGGTTCGTTGTCACTTAGACTTCCTTTTGGCTTCCCCTGATGTCGAAATGGAGTTTCTCTTTACATGTCATTCACATATTTGAAAACCAGACTCATTCCATGAAGTGGAGCTCATAACTCCGGTGGTAGTGTGCCAAAAACCCAAGATATAATGTGGGCGTCTCGCCCTATATAATCCCAGGCCATAGACCTTTCCGATATAGAATATGAACAAGGCAGCTGCACTAACGAATTGCTAATCTGTGTGTTTTTATTTCTTCCCCTTTTCTTTTGCAGCTTCATACCGTAGATGATGCCATTGACAAGAGTAAAAGAGTTTTAACTGCCATGTCAAGGAGGATGACGAAGCATAAATGGATCATAGGCTCAGTTATCGGAGCTCTTATCGTTGCAATCCTCTTTATTCTGTACTTTAAGCTTTCTCATTAACGGATACCTGATACGGATACCATCTGTGTGGTACAGGTAACTATATATCTCTATTCAAAAGGTTGTATCTATATATGCTTTGTTGCCCAGAGAGTTATGAATCGCATTCTTGTCATAATTCCCGTATTCTAAATCTGTCATTGGTCTGATTTCTGCGTACTTTAGTGGAATGTTTAGGGCTCAACTACTCGATTAATGAAGAAAAATCGTCATTCCGCTAATTTTCTCTTCGAAGTGATTCAATTTAGTCATAGTGATTAGAAATTTACAGCAAATTGGAGCATTGGATACGTGTGCGGGATGGTTCCAAGATGTTACGCCGTACAATTGTGGTGCTGCCTTTATCCCTACGGGGAAGTTGACGGCCAGCCGGCCCAGCCCTTATGGGAGATTCGCGGGTACTCCGGCCGGAGCATGATTGTGTCAAGAACAAGTATGATCATGTACTTGTCAACTCATCACCCCAAAGAAAACACCTGGATTCGTTTCGAACTTGATATTACCAGTTCTGCACGCATGGCGATCACCTACTTCTCCACTCACCTGCGGAATGAACGTACGGAGTTGTTTTAATTATGTTTAGAGGTGCTTAATCTGGGCTATTTGAATATTAAAAAACGATCCTGATTTTCGTTTAGGTACGTAGTTGCATACTTCCACGGTCAACTCACATAATTTTTTCTTTCCCGATTTACATAATTATGTGTTTATAATTAGGATCAGTCATATTATAAATTACTCCACCAAAATCATCTATGGTAAAAATCAATTATAATTAGGGTAAATTATAACAATGGTCCATTAACCTTAACTTAATCGGAGCAATGATTCCTCAACTAAAAATTCATTATCATTGGTCCCTCAACTTCAACCCAATTGTAGAAATGGTCCCTCAACTGTAACCTAATTGTAGCAATGGTCCTTCCAACATAACTCATTTTGACAAAATTCTGAAGTTGACGAAAATAACCAGTTACACGTTTTAATAAGTTGAGATACCCCAATTGTAGCACTGGTCATTCCAAAATAATTTATTTTAACAAAATAATAACGAAGTTGATGAAAATGATCATAGTTACACATTTAATCTACCGAATATTACTTAATTTATAATCACGAAGATCTGTCAATTGATCGTGAGTAGGAATAGTAGCAAAGTAGTGTTCCGGGCGCAAACGTAGTCCTGTTTCATGCAAGGACCCAAGTCTTGTGGACCAACCAGCACCACGGATTCATTCAGAATCACAACCCAAACCTTCCTTCCTTTTCTTGTCCCACCTTCTAACTTCTAAGCTCCGCCTACCACCCACCGAACCGGACCAACCCAGAGAGACCCAAACGTAATTGCAATTTTGCACCCATTTTTATTTTCAATTAATTCACAGCTTAACACAAGCATCCATGGATTCACTCTCATCGGTAAAAGTGTCGCCCTCCGTAGTCACCAACCCTCTCTCTCCGCGGCGCTGCCGGATGCCTCTTTCTTCTTCTTCGCTCGGCAGCTTACACAATCGAAGTCTCTGCCGATTATCCTCCTCCTCCTCCTCCTCTGTATTCGGTGTACCGTGCCCTCCCTATTCTAGAAGGAGGCTCGTGTGCCGGTCCGGCGGTGGCGGTGGCGGTGGAGCTGCGCAGGAGGAGGACGACGACGGAAGTGAGCAGGTGGAGAGAGCGCTTCACCTCGATGGTAATATCCCCTCTTCCTCCGACGAGTTCGTGAAACGCGTGTCGTCTCGTGCTTACGACATGCGCCGCCACCTCCATCAGACCTTCGATTCCGGCAGCTACGATGGTACGAATTCAGTTCAAAGCTGCTCCTGCTTTTATTAAGTCGTTTGAGAATTGAGATTTTTGCGAGTATCTGTTCTTTTAACGAGTGATTAATAAATTAATTAACAATTAATGGCAATTTATTTTATTTTTTGTCATTTCCTTTGAAATTCATGATTCAATTTGCTTGAATTAATGTTAAATATACTTTCTTATTTCCTAATGTATTCACATGTGCAGTGGCTTTTAGCTCGGTTTTAAGAGCATTCGCACATGTACCCGAGGTCTCGTGTTCAATTCCCGTCTGTGTGGTTTAGTATAGATTATCTTATCATTTGTCAACTATTGAGTACACGTGCAAATGAAAGAGTTGCAAAAACTCACGTGCATGGTTGGCTTTGGGATAATATCGTAGTGCATAATTGGTTTAAGATACTGCCACTGTAGCACCCCGAGTGTTATGGTGCAATTTTCTCACCATCACATTAATTGCCTGTCGGATGAATGTGATTTAATCTCCCCGTACACAAATCTTGGTTCAGTATTGGAGGCCAACCCCTGGAGAGGAAGTTCCAAGCCTGTGTATGTATTAACGCAAAGGGAAAACCAGTTGTGCACCATGAAAACCCGAAGAAATCGCAGGTCTCCTTCCTCAGCTCTCTCCCGTTGTGTCTGTGTTCCTTTTCTCTTCAGTAGGCTTTAATTCTTGTTATTTGTGGCTTCGATAAGTCACTCGGTGTGGTGAAATGTTCGTGGGGTATATGTGACAGTGAAGTTGAAACGGAGCTTGGGAAATTGTTTTCGAAAGGAGGGAAGTGGAACCAAGCGAAACAGCCTAGGAACGAGACAAAGTTCCAGATGCTTGTGGAGGATATTAGGGATGGAGTGCTTGTAAGTATTTGTCCCTCTTCTTCTTGCCAATTGAGTTAATTAATGCCTTGAGTTGTTGGTGTCAGCGTGAAGTTTTCATTTCGTAGGGATTCATAAATCTCGTCTTACTGTATCTACGGTTGCATATGTTTCGCAAATTCCAATGGCGTTTGTAGGTTTTCGAGGATGAGAACGAAGCTGTAAGGTACTGTGACTTGTTGCAAGGAGGAGGTAAAGGTTGTGAAGGTGTTGCAGAAATAGAGGCCTCATCGGTAAGAAATATAGAGCCGTCTTTAAATTTGGCTTCTTTAGCATCGCAAAATTGTAATTCAACGACGATGGATGCACTTTTTACTGAAGTGCACCAACAATTGTGTGGTTGTGTTATAAATTTAGGTATTCGACGTCTGCCAGAAAATGCGAGCTTTTGCAGTTCTATTCCGTCGCGGAATAAGCCCTCCTCTGCCTCAAAGCCTGGAGCTCAACCTTCGGGCTCGAAAGCGCTCGCTTGAAGACGAGCAAAACGCGTAAAGAGTATTCGATTCCTTCTTGAAACTGTATATTTGTATAAGAAATCATTCTTGTCGTCTCGGTAGAGTGTCACATATTGAATTCTTGTATGTGCCGGTCATATGTAACTTGGATGTCATAATATGCATGTATAACATGTGGATACAATGATTTTTTCTAATTTTGATGGCGGCTGCCGTAAGGTCCAAATTCAAAATTGAGATGCATTTGCCTAAGAAAATTCCCATGTGCAAACAAGTCTCCCCAAGTTCCAAAAGTTTTGGATGTGAACGCGATTGTTACGCTATCATATAGCGAATTCACATATAAATTAATTTTTTTAAACTATACCCACTTCATGATATAAACTATGCCGCCGTCAAATTATGGCATCTATTAATTTGGCGGCGATATTTATTGAATGAAATGAATACAATCCCAAATTGGCAAATATTAGCATTAACATCCTTGAGTAATGCTTAACTATTTCAGGATTAGCAGGAATTCGTTCTCAAAATTTTTCGTGTTTTATTCACAAATCTTTGTGCCTATAATCAAAATCAGAATATTATAAATTACTCTTTAAAAATCGTTTTTATAAAAACGAATTAAAACAAGGCCGTTAAGTCAATCAACTGTTACAAATAGAAAGACATATCGTAATGTTTTTTTTTATCATTTTCTTCCATTTGTTCTTATACAATTTAATGACTAAACGATCTTAATTTTAATTGATTTTTTACAAACATAATATTTATAGAATGATTTATAATATAAATTGTTCAGATCATAAACACAAACATCTATGTACCATAAACGAACAGTTTTGGGTATTATTCAAAGTGATTCACCTGGGGGCACACCAACGCAACTCCAAAAGCGAGGACAAAGTGAGAAAGGAATGCGATTCCGTTGAAAAGTACGCCATAAAGCCAAAGTTACTTTGTCTTTTTTATCTTCTTTACTTGCTTGTTTAGATCTCAATAAATAGAAAGGATGACACAAAAACACATTACCGCACAAGTTGCACCATATTGTCAAAGCAACAGCGTTCACATTGGTAGACCAAACTCCGATCACTGATGAGCTCCGACGCTTCCGACTCGTCCGGCGGAGGTAGTGCTTCGACGGCCGACAAGGACAAGCGGAAGGAGAAGGAGAAGGCCCGAGCCAGCACCTCCCTGATGCTCTGGCACGCCCACAACAACGACGGCGTCGCCGTCCGCAAGCTCCTCGAGGAGGATAGCTCTCTCGTCCACGCCCACGACTACGACAACCGCACTCCGCTCCACGCCGCCTCGCTCCACGGCTGGATCGACGTCGCCAACTGCCTTATTGAGTATGGCGCCGATGTCAATGCCCAAGATCGCTGGAAGAACACCGTACTCATTCCCAATCTTCTGTTAGGTGTTTAATTACTTTAATAAGTAATTAAACGCAATGCCTTTTGTGTGTAATTACGATTATATGTGTTGATCGGGTCTTAATTATATTACTCTTGATGGCAGCCTCTGGCTGATGCAGAAGGAGCTAAGAAGCAGACGATGATTGAGCTACTGAAATCGAACGGTGGCTTGTCTTATGTAAGTCCAAATTCCATAGCCATAATTTATTTCATGGAGTGAAGTTCTTTCGATTTTGTCTGGTTTGATTGCCTCTGATGCTCTTGCTTCGAGTGTTTCTGGTGCTGCAGGGCCACAACGGGAGCCATTTCGAACCGAAGCCCGTGCCACCCCCTCTTCCCAGCAAGCGTGATTGGGAGATTGAACCGTCCGAGCTCGACTTCACCAACTCACTTACCATTGGGAAGGTCTGAATTTCTTATCATTTACGAGTTTTAGTGGCCAACTTGCAATGAAATCTTGTTGCTTTGCACTGCACTGCTATGAATTTCTGGTTTAGTTTTCGGTTTTGCTTCGCACTGCTATGTAAATCTTGTTGCTTGGATTTTCACATCTGTGGTTTTTAAGATTTTCCGTTGTTTTAATTAGTTCATAATGTTACATCGAGTCGTTATGCTGTATATTTAGCCCCAACCCACTATAATCTGTAGTTACTGCTCAATATTCGCAGGCTTCAAATAGTAGGTTCCTTTGAGCTAAGATTTCCCCCAAGGTTGAACTCTATTTTCGCGAATGTAGTTACTTGCTCTTTTATGCCGATGATCTTTAGGATTTATCTTTTGTTTTTCAAGTTGAAGTAGTTGTGGTCTGCTCATGGTTTTGTTGCCACCACGCTAGATCTTTCTGTATTTCTATAATCTTTTGCATTCCGCAAGATAGGCCTCACCTTGGAGGGTGTTGCTTTCAGGGATCGTTTGGTGAGATTTTAAAAGCGCATTGGCGTGGAACCCAAGTAGCTGTCAAGCGAATTCGTTCATCTCTTTCTGGTGATAGAATGGTGATGTAAGTTCCATCTAAATTTTTATTTGCGAGAGAAAAAAATATTTGCAACTTAGTTGCTGTGGAACAATTTATGCATATATCAAGTTTTTCAGGAGCCTGGGAGGTGACCTTAATGCTATGCTTAATATTGAAATCACAATCAGCATATTTTCTTTACCCACAGTTCCGTTATATTAAAAGGTTGTAGATTTCTGACTTGCTCATTGCTTTCCTGATACAGCCAAGACTTCCGGCATGAGGTTGATTTGCTAGTGAAGTTTCATCACCCTAATATAGTCCAATTTCTTGGAGCTGTCACTGAGAAGAAGCCCCTTATGTTAATAACGGAGTATTTAAGAGGGGTATACTTCTCCATATTTGAATTATGTTTGGAATTTTTATTCTCTCCGCAGGATTCTTGACAGTGGTTTTTAAGATGTGTCGTGCAAAGACGCTGCTTCTTACTTAATGTGTTGTGTTATGGTTTAGGGTGATCTTCATCAGTACCTCAAGGAAAAGGGTGCACTTACTCCTACAACAGCAATTAACTTTGCTTTGGATATTGCCAGGTACTTCAATAAAACTTCAATCAACTTATTGCCTTAGTTTAAGCAACCCTTTTGGAGGTGAAAGAGGTTTCTAATGTTCCTAAATTTCAACATGGCCAGAGGCATGGCGTATCTTCACAACGAGCCAAATGTTATAGTTCACCGAGACCTAAAACCAAGGTAAGTTGATTTTATATGCTAGAATGTCTTTAACTAATACAATGCCCTAGATGATGCATCTGCACAGGATGAAAGAAACTCTGGATTTGTACAATTTTATGAGTTTCCATTTCTATTTCTTTAGTCTGTTTCCATCACCGGGAAAATGTGCCTTGCTCGCAATGTTTCCTATTTGTGCTTCTGAATTTTGTTTGTTTATTTCAGGAATGTTCTCTTAGTCAATTCCAGTGCCGACCATTTAAAAATCGCAGATTTTGGATTAAGCAAGCTCGTCAAGGTTCAGGATTCTCACGATGTATACAAAATGACTGGCGAAACTGGAACTTGTGAGTGTCTTCTGAAATGTTTAACATTGAGTCGAAGCTACTACTGAATAAAATTAATTATTGTCATAAAACTTGTTCTTTGTGTTTTGCATCGGAACAAACAAAAGACCGCTATATGGCTCCCGAAGTTTTTAAGCACCAGAGATATGATAGGAAGGTTGACGTGTTCTCTTTCGCAATGATACTGTACGAGGTAATGTTGGTTTCAGCTAGATATCAAATTCAGATTCACCCTTGAAGGAAAAGATGTCAAATTGTTCAATTTCAGTCCTGATTTATAACACTCTGAACGGATGCAGATGCTTGAAGGGAAACAACCACTTTCGGATTACGAGGCTTATGAAGCAGCCAAATATGTGGCGGAAGGACAAAGGCCTTCGTTTCATGGAAAAGGGCACACCCCTGAACTGAAAGAGTAAGTCAGTTCTGTAATTTTTCCGTCAACCAAAATGTTCCCTTCATTCGTGCTCTTCCACTTGCATCGCTAATAAATTCAAAAGGCTTTTTGGTCAAAATGGTCTCGAAATTGTTATAACTCTTCACTTTGGTCCTTGAAATTTAAAATCCATATTTATTTACCATCAATCATTTTGGTCATTTTCTGAAAAATCTTAATTAGATTGGAAAAACCACTCTGAAAAATCTTAATTAGATTGGAAAAACCACCAGTTCAAGGAGAAGGGTTGATTTGACAAAAATATCCTCAATTAATGGAGATTTCTTGCGAAATGACCAAAATGATTGACGATGGACAAATCTCAGTGACCAGTTCTATCGATTTTAAATCTCACATACCAAAATGAGGTGTTTTGCCAATCTGAATGACCATTTTAGCTAAAAAGCCAATCCAAAACCATGTCCATATGTTCAACAGGAGTGAGTGGCGTTCGGTTGCTTATTTCTTTCCATCGATTGTTTTACAGGTTAATAGAGCAGTGTTGGTCTGCTGACGTGAACCAAAGGCCTTCCTTCTTGGAGATTATCAAAAGGCTTGAGAAGGTAAAGGAAAAAGTTGTACATGCAGAACATCACTGGCACATATTTAATGCATAAATGTGAAAGCTTGCGCGAGTATTCGTTGCGACTAGCGTTCTACCATTCTGTTTCAGATTCAATAGAAAATTCTCATGTTGTAAACTATTTTACAAAATAAGCAGTAAACGACGGGACTATAGAACTCCTATCCCGAAACATTTTATATAACCTTCTTCTTCTCGAAAAATGTCTTCAGGTGCCACACTTGCAAACCCGCGACTGATAAGCAAACAATAAGCGAAAGAAGGCTCAGCCAGGCCATTTTCGAGTTTGTCGCTCTGTTAAGATCCTGCATCTCCCCTTCCCTGAAACAGCATTGAGCAGACAACATATAAATGAACAAACGATTGACATCTGTTCCAAACGAAAATACTCATCGAACAAAGAACAGTTGCTTACCTTTCGCGGAGATAGAACATCTCCTCGTGAATGGAAGTAACCGTATCAAACAACTTTCTAAGCTCCAATTCCATGACCTGGTACATAAGAAGATAGACAAAACATTTGTCTCAATATATTCACAACTGAAAACATTTGCATTACCCTAACCAATATAAGAACCTTCGGCGAAGAAAATGTAGCCTGCGTGAATTCTTCCGATACATCTATCAATGTTACATTGTCGGATCTTGCGTGCACACAAGACTCCACACTATCGATGGCCTCGACAGATGACAAGAAAACATTTCTTATCCAAGAAATACATACGAATATTGGTGTTGATTCGTAATTCGCAAGTTATCAAGCATTTGCGTAAGGCATGGATCAATTGGAATTGTTTCGAAGCTCCCTAGTTATCAACATCCAACGAAACCAAATCTACGAGCACTAAGATAGTTTTGCTATAAATAATTTGCTACAAGAATTCAGTTTTAGTTAGAAATTAAACAAAATTACTACAAAGTTAACGGTATTGAAGCTGAATTTCATAGCAATATCGTAATAAAAAACAAGCTAAATTTAGCTGAAAATATAAAGGGTAGGAAAATACTTACGTCAACGGTGCTTTTCTTGGCGACATTGGACCAGTCTTTGGCGGCGACGCCGGTTTTCCAATCGAATTCGATGGTCAACGTCGTCTCGGGCTTGAAAACCGGCGCCCAGAAGCACGCCATGTAATCTCCCGCCTCCGCCGCCACAAACGCAAACTGCCCCGATTCCACCAGCTCCGAAAAGTGATAGCTATTTCCGTAGTGCGACGTCACCTATACATATATATACAAATACAATTAAATCCAATAATTATATCGATGAATAAATAAAAAGACTTCAAATTCAACTTTTGGGTAGAAAAATTTGGAGAAATTAAGCGTACCCGGACGGTCAATTTGTGAGAATTGGGCATGGGCTGGCCTTCGTTGGGGTTGACGACGCTGTATTTTCCGACGGTCATGGCGCTGGATTTTATATCTTCCACGATGCATTTCGTGTGACCCGATTGCAGCTCGAACCGCAGACATTCGGATGTAGACAATAAAAACCCTGCGATCACGGTAGCAAGTAGAAGACGCAATCCGACCATTGCTGTGACTGAGTGACGACTCGGGTGGGAAAAAAAACCGCTGCGACTCGGATGACTCGGAGAGAAATCGAGAGGAAAGGGGTTTTTTCTTCGTTCTCTTCGGAAGTGAGTCGGACTCGGAAAATCTGGAATTTTGGTTTGGGTTGATTTTAACAGCTTGGGCTCCTTAGGCCTGCTTAGATTTAGGCCAGGCGATGTCAGCTTTTTAGACACGTGTTTGTTCGTCATTCATTGAAGCACGTAATTGAAAAGGTTGCTTGTGTTGGACGGAAAAGGTTCATCTCCAAATTCCTTTCTTCTAAACCATCAAGTTCGGAGATTCGGACTGTTGAAATTTGATCAAACGCTACAAACATAGGTCCATTGTAAAAATTATAATAACTTTAGCCGTTAGATTAAATTTAATGATCCCGATCTTCGAACTTGGTGGATTAGAAAGAAAGAAGGATTCCTTTCCGTGTTGGACTAGGACAATACTACTGTTTTTCTTGGGTCGTAATAAATTTTTTGGGCCGATTTGGAATTTGAACAAACTCAAATTTAGGCCCAACTTCAACCTAAAACTGACATGGGCTGCAAGTGGAGGCCCAAAACGTACAAACAAAGCTTTAGCAATTAGTATGCAGGCTGATTCTCTCGTAGAACCGATCAATTTAGCATTAGCCGGCGACGAGAAGGACTTTCATGCAACAAGATAATTGTAGACAGCGATGGAGTCAGTATAGAGTTATTAGTTGTCTTTATTATGCACATTAAATGCTTGATAAAATGTCTCACTTAGAGTCTTTGGAGTCTTCAACATTACTTTACAGTTTTTCGTAGCCATCCTTGACAAGAATCTACGTATCATTGTAATTGTTGACATATGTTTGTATAGCCTTTGACAAATTTTACAAGAACCGACATGTTCCTATCAGGTGCTTGACGAAATAGTCCAATAAAAATTATTAGGTTGAAATCATGACCCTCTTATTTGAAAATTCTAATTTCATTACTGATTATAAAAATATTTCAAAACTCATCATGCACTGTCATATAAAAAGTTAAAACTTATAACACAATAGCATCTCCTTTGTAAGCATCCCTATACCATATATTCCCCAAATCATCATAAGCATCCTCAACCATTTTTACATTTTTGGCCTTCACTTACGTTCCGCGCACATAAATATAATTGCTGTTGCTTGACACTGCTTTTTGCCCGCTTGCCGACATCACTCTTTCGAAAACTTATGAGGCAAGCAGACCCTTTTTTTTTTCTTTTTTTTTTTTTTTTTTTTTTTGGGTAATGAGGCAAAACGACTTTACTTGAAAGAAAGGGAATTGAATTCCTGAAAAAAATAGCCAAAAATTGGAAACCTAAAACCAGCTGATTTATCAATGGTTCATATTTGTTATCAAGGGTTGCATGTGTTTTGTGCGTACACGTACTATATATACAATTCCATGCAACACAAGTAATTTTAGCGTTTATTACTCGAAATACTAAAGTGTCACAACACTTTTCTATCTATAATAAAGGACAGATTTGTCACACCATTCTTTTTATATACGTTATTGTGAAACTCACTTCGTAATATGTTTTAATGATTTGGATTGTCTATGATTTAGGTATATTTCAAAGATCATTTATACCAAAAAGTACCTAAATTTGAAATCATACGACCGTTAGATTAAGAGTTTAGTGTTTCTTTGTAGAAACGTATTGATCCATTTTCTTCACTACAAATGAATGTCTTAATGGTATCTGAAACCATGTGACGGTTGGATTAAGAATTTGGTGTTCTTTGTAAAATCATATTCGTCCATTTTCTTCACTAAAGAGGAATGTTTTTATGATTTTGGATTTGTCTAATTTTTTTGCAAAGATAATCTATGAATGTTGTACGATTTAGATCATTAAAATACATTCTGAAGTGTGCCCCAAAAAAAAAAAAATGTCAAAAGTTATATAAAAATAAAGGAGAAATTAGGTTCACATCCTTCCTTTTGTTACTCCTTTGATTAAAACCTTATTCATTTTCATTTTTTGATTAAGGTCATAGATATTAATAGCATCATTAATTATTTCAACAATTAAATATTTTTTATTTCAAAATATATTCATTTAATGTTTAAAATGTTACAATTAGTATATTTATATTTATGGTTAAAATTTTTATCATATATTTTTAGTTTTAGTTTGTACCCATTTTTAATTTGCAACCCTTTTTTAATTTGTACCAATTTTGTTTTCAGTTTTAATTTGTACCCATATATTAATTTCTTTTTGTGCCCATATTTTATAAAGTTTTTTTTTTGTATTTGTACCCATATATTTTTATTTATTTGTAACCTTTTTTAATTTTGCTAAATGTTGTCACATCCCGGCCCGGGGCGGAACCACTTCCCGGGCCCGACTCCACCACCGTAGCACGATATTGTCCGCTTTGGGCTTACCATTCCCTCACGGTTTTGTTTTTGGGAACTCACGAGCAACTTCCCAGTGGGTCACCCATCATGGGATTGCTCTAGCCCCCTTCTCGCTTAACTTCGGAGTTCCTACGGAACCCGAAGCCAGTGAGCTCCCAAAAGGCCTCGTGCTAGGTAAGGATGAGAATATACATTTAAGGATCACTCCCCTGGGCGATGTGGGATGTCACAATCCACCCCCCTTAGGGGCCCGACGTCCTCGTCGGCACATTTCCGGCCAGGGATTGGCTCTGATACCAATTTGTCACATCCCGGCCCGGGGCGGAACCACTTCCCGGGCCCGACTCCACCACCGTAGCACGATATTGTCCGCTTTGGGCTTACCATTCCCTCACGGTTTTGTTTTTGGGAACTCACGAGCAACTTCCCAGTGGGTCACCCATCATGGGATTGCTCTAGCCCCCTTCTCGCTTAACTTCGGAGTTCCTACGGAACCCGAAGCCAGTGAGCTCCCAAAAGGCCTCGTGCTAGGTAAGGATGAGAATATACATTTAAGGATCACTCCCCTGGGCGATGTGGGATGTCACAAATGTACCCATGCTAATTATATGTACCATTCATGTAATTTTTTTCAAAATTTTAATCTTAAAATGTACTCATTCTTAAATATACCAATTTGTTATATGTAAAATGTACCCTTATATATATATATATATAATCTATTCAATTTTTTTCGAATCCATTTTTAAACTTATATGGGTACATTCTTTTTTCTTTCATTTGAGATTATATCCATGTTAAGTTTAATCGAAGAAATTTACTAATTTTATTAAGCCTAATATCTTTTTCTTTTTTTTTTCTTTTTTTTTTTGTGATTTTGAAGAATGTACCCATGTTTTGATACAATAATTTTGTTATTAATTTTGATGAATGTACCAATGTTTATATATATATATATATATATATATAGACACACACACACACACACACAATAGTATATTTATATTTTAATATTTTTAATCCCACAAATTATGGTTTTTTATTTAAAATCTCATTAATATAAACAACTATAAATTTTAATTTTTAATTTAAAAAATATAGTAACGTATATATAAATAAATTATCACATTAATTTCAAGGACTTGGATCAAAAATTGAAAATCAACAAGGTTTCAGTCAAAGAATATTCATAGTTAGGGACCACATCCAAAGTCTTCGTAAAAAAATATGATGTTACGGATCCATCTCCTATAATATACATCAATGATTTGAATATTGCGTAAACTATCATACATGAATGATCCATAAAAATTAATACATACATATACTCTTTTTAATAAAATCCAAAGAGATTTCAATTTCGAATTTTGTTACCATCCTTTAGAAACACTACAAAGTAAAATGTTTGATGGACTGGTTACAAGTTGAACAATAAAAAAATAAAATAAAAAATTGGAAAGCAAAAGTAAATATGAACTCCCTAAGCAAAGAAAAATGGTCCATAAAACGCAACAAAAATCATATCCTCGGAGGCTTCGTTGATCGGCAAAGGGATCTTAGTATCTTAGAACATCTTGGTTTTGAAGAATCCTAGACTCCTATACCTTGAATTCATCAATTTAAAAATTAAAATGAATACAATTATTCTGTTTTATTTCTTAATTAGTTGGAAGTTGACTTTATGTATCGAAAAAGACATGCATGCATTTTAAACTCCACCATTTCATACATTAGCTTTGGAATTTTTTTTATTTTTTTATGATAATTTGGACTTCATACTATATAACATATAGCATAGTTGGTACATGGTTTGGCTTCATCCTAAAAGAAACGCTAAGGACGTTCTTTTAAAAGTAGGATTTTTTATAGATTTTTTGTCAACTCATGTTTTTAATACAATTTTTTTTTTTTTATAATGGATACAGAAATTGACGTTATAATGTGAAGTGATGGAAAATTCATGAAAAATCTCATTTTTTTTAGAGAGTTCCCTTAGTATTCTCTTCATCCTATATGTTACATAGGAAATATTTTGTGTGCGTGGTGTTATTCACAGTCAGTTTTACCTTTCACATACTTAATGTAATTTCTAGCATTTGATCTTGTTCAATTCCGATAACCGAAAATTAAAAAGAGTGTGAAGAAGTAAAAAACAAAAAGTATGCGGATAGCACCGCTATAATAATATATAATTTGTATCTTATTTCTAAATTTAGAAGAACGAGAATCAGCTAATAAAAGGTGGATCTTGGTTTTCTACTTGCAGTGCAAATTAACTGACTACTTTTATAAGCCTAACAAAAAAATATTGACAGCACTTATCAGACGAGTAAAACTGTAAAAAGCAAAAAACTGGTGTGAATATTTGCAACTTATATAAGCATAGAACGAGAGCAGAATCTAACCACCCAAAAATTCCTTGATTTTCTTCTTCATTCCTTTTATTTTTAATTAAAAAAAAAAAAAAGTTCATAGCACGTCGCTGAGAAATCACAAGATTTTCCCGGAAAAAGGAGGAAGCAAGGGGAAAATCGAAAATTGCCTTGCGGTTGCATTGGGTCGTTGAGATTTTTAATTGGGTTATGCATTTAACTCGTGAAATTTCAACCTCCAGCCTCTCCGCGCCGATTCTTCACACAAAGTTTTGAACTTTTTCCCGTTTCAAAATCTGGGCTTTGAGGGCTCCCAAGTGTGTCTGATTCGGCAATGCTGGATTGAAATTGGGGA